ACACACACACACACACACACACACACACATAAACACACACACACACACACACACATAAGCACACTCACACACATGCGCGTGCGTATGTTCCACATGTACATCGCTATCGTGACCTGTAAGTACAAGATCCTTCATAGTCGTGACTACTTGACTCGCGACCTTGTATGACACCAAGGGCCAACAAGTGGCCAACCATGACCTCCTGGTGAGGTGAGAGGGTGCGGGAGACAGAAAGAATGTGCCTCTTCTGAAATTCACTTATGACTAGTACAGATGACTGGATGTGGTTGTCGAGTTATCAAACTTTTGTTACTTTTTAAAACTACGCTTTTCAGTTGTTGTTTGACATTTATACATTACATACCTATAATTTTATAGGTATTTGTTATTTCTCTCTGCCTTTTTGTTGTTTGTTTTCTCAGTGTATGTGGGTGGTTTTGGACGCTGTCGATCGATCATGTTGTATACTTTTTTTCTCCTTCTTTTCTTTTTTCTGTTGTCTTAATGTGTCCTTGCCTACATAGCCGATGGTGTGATCCTTATAAACTTAATCTCAACAAGAATAACGACATCCTGTTGCCCCAACTTATTTTAGTATTGTAACTTGTCAGCGTGGCTGATTCCCTGCAACCTACACACCTCGACGATTTCTTTTTTTTTTTTTTTTTGTTACTTTTTAACGCCACAAGGATCCACGTTTTCTGGTATTGTTTGTTAAAAGCTGAGACACGTTATTGTATCGCTGCGCTTTTTTGCAACTGATACAAATTGTGCAAAGCGGCTCTCCCGCTGGTATCGTCCACCAAAATGATGTGTCCAATTTTATGGTTGCCTTCTCCCAGGTAGTTAAAACTGTGTCGCTGTCCGAGCTGTTGTCTTTGCCCGTTCGTCACTCGACTGTGTTATGTGTGCTGCCAAAATATTATGGGTGTAAGAGGAGTCCAGGGCTGTGATTTGGGCTTTGTCTGGGTTTGTTTCGGGGGGTCGGGGGTTGGGTGTTGATATTAAAAGAATTTGCTTGGTTTCGTAAATGTGCTTTTCTTCATATATCCGAGAGGCCTACTCCTTTTCTATGCTTCTTTTGTCCAAATATTTGACGTGAGATTTCGTTCCAATCGATAGCAGGGTTACCTTGACTCGACTTAAATTCCATTAAGTGTCTGTTACTTTCTTTATTAGGCTGGCGAGAAGCGGTCGATATGCGCATTGCAGACAACAATATTATTCTTGAGTGAAGGAGAATGGAGTTAAATAATCTGGAGATTTAATTAGCATTTTGTTCTTTTGATATGGAAATTTTCACAGCTTGAAGAAAAGACGCATTTAATGTGAACAATAGGCTTCCGTGATTGGTCTTTTCCTCGAGGATGGAAGCAAGTCTAGGCTGAGTTCCTAGATGCAAGACCATCGGCGCAATTGGCTCGTGAGAGGGAGGGTGTATGTGTAGACCCTATGGCCGTGTTTTAATATACATATGTATGAATTTAAACTTTCAGGACCCCCCCCCCTT